CCATCTTCCAGCTTGCACCTTCACGAATCTCCACCATTGTTGGTTGTATCCGTCGAAAAAAACATGATACAAGGTGAGACCCACCCAGTTATGTTTGTGGGTTTAGTTTCACCCCCATGAACATTATAGCATATATTAGCATATAATCCGGTTGGTGGTTTGGAACATGAATTTTATGAATTTCCATATATTGGGAAGAATAATCCCAACTGACTTTCATATTTTTCAGAGGGGTAGGTATACCACCAACCAGATATATGTATATATACATTGATGGTTAGCTGGATAAGTTAGTACATTCTACCAGTGAATATGGGTGAATATTGGTTGATTGAATCGTTCTATCCACCAAAAACTACCCTCTGGTAAACGTTGACAAAAAACTATGGACACTCACCATGCTATTAATGGGTAGTATCAACTATGTCTATGACCATTTTCAATAGCTATGCTTGACATAACCAGAGGGTAACCATTCGCTAATTCCTGCGTTAATTCCTGCGCTATCTAAATATCTGATATGAATCCCATGAATCATATATCAGAATCGACAAAAGGTCACTCTCGACTGGATGCTTTTTGAGTTTCTAAAAACCTAACTCGTCTGACTTGGTATCAACGGGATTTTCCGAAAAAAATCTTTGATTGTCTTAGAATATCCGATAAACGATAGTTTCTTTTGGGATTATCTACTTACGTTCACCAGCTAAGATTTTTTCTTTTTTTGAAGGGTATCTGGCTGATTGGCCATGGTTGTGGGTAAAATGATTCCGTAAAACCATATAAAACCAGCCATGAATGGTAAGCATACTACAGTTATGGCCATTTGCCAGTTATAACTGGCTATAAATGGGATTATACATTCTATAAATGGGGTTTTGTTAGTACTTATAACTGATAAATGGCCAATCAACCAATGTTCACCCATATTCACTGGTCGAATGTACCGACTTCGCTGGTAGAATCAACCAACTTATCCATCTAATGCATTTCTAATGCCATCTGATTGAAACCCCCTATATATAAAAATGATGACTGGGAGATGGTTGAAATCGCCGTATATTTTGTTTTTTTGCTGCTGAGGCTTGGCACGAAACATCTCTATGAGTTCATCACCGATCCTCGGCGGGGGCTTCTGACAAAAAGGGGATTTCTCATGGAAAACCATAGGAAAATGGTGATTTAATGAGGGTTTATGGTGGTTTAATGGGATTTAATGGGATTTAATGGGATTTAATGGGATTTAATGGGATTTACCCTCTGGTAATTTAACATAACTATGGAAAGATCCACCATTTTTAATGGGAAAACTCACTCTTTCAATGGCAATTTTTAATAGCTATGTTAAATTACCAGAGGGTATCATATGACATGAGAGTTTATCCATGGGCTTGTAAGCCAGTTTATGATAGTTTATGATTTATGATAGTTTGTGATAGTTTATATCATGCATAAGTATTATTTGATGGGGTTGCAAGCCAGTTCATAAGATAGGAACCTCGCAAATTAAGTATGCGTTTTATTGGGAAACCATCCGAATTTGCTCAAGAAACTGGGCGTTGACATGTGATCTATGACTGGTTGGTGGTTTGGAACATGATTTTTTCAATGACTTTCCATTCAGTTGGGAATGTCATCATCCCAACTGACGAACTCCATCATTTTTCAGAGGGGTAGGTATACCACCAACCAGATGAATATTTCTGAGAAGTAAGTTGGTGTATTAGTTCTGGTTGGTGGTTTGGAAAAATTTGGTATTTTTCAATATATTGGGAATAATCATCCCAACTGACTAATATTTTTAAGAGGGGTTGAAACCACCAACCAGAATTGCTCTTGGAATTTCTGGTGGATGCATCATGATATCTCCAAAAATGCTCGCTGAGCGGGGCCGCCTTGGGGCCACGTGCCGGCGCACAGGCAAGGCTGGCAATAGGCCACTGTTCGTAATGGTTGGGCGACTGTTCAATGGCCTATAACCCACCACCACAACAACAATACAGGCATAAGGGCGATCATCTAGAATCTAGTCGGCTGTGTTGGTTTATGACTAAGATGACCCTGATGATCATTCGTCAACGATTATAATGATCATGATTTATAACTAAAATGGTGGTCATGATAAGTTTATGATCATCTAGTCTTGTAACCCTGATCTAAGACAAATTTGTGCAAGCAGCTCATGCAGTTCCTGGCATTTCGGCCGATGGGAAGCTTGCCACTTCCAGCTATTTGCATGCCCCTGACGATGCCTATGCCATTTGTGCCAATGGGCCCACTTCCTAAAGCCAAGGCTCCAAAACTAGACATGGAAAGAAACTAACATCATAGCATTCCAAGTGATTCTGGCTTCCCTGAACAAAAATGGCGACAAACAAATTATGGGGGTTTCATACTCCTTTTCAGAGATGTATTCTAATGTATAGAGGAACAATCATTTGGGTGCATAGTTTCAATCAGAATGCCTCCTGGTCATCTTCTTGACTTCCTGAAAATGGCTGAGTGCTGGTGGCTTTGTTATTGGGGCCTTCAGTCCAAATACCATGTGGTTGTGTTCGAAAGGACTCCGTTATACACCCCATTTGTGCTATTTTACAGGGGGAACATGATGATACACATGATAATAAACATGATTATACTGGGGAACCTTTGTTGATTTTGGGGTACCATTTTTGTCGGAGCCATGGAACATGGCTAAGGATGCCTATGTGTCCTACCAGCATTATCAGAGGCGCCCAAACAGTCCTGGGATGTGGCAGGAAAGTGCTTGGTCGCCCCAAATACCCGGCCTGGTTATGTCAAAATAGCTATTGAACATGGCCCAGTCGAAATCGTGGATTTATCCATTGATAGCATGGTGAAATGGTGGATCTTTCCATCGTTTTTTGTTAACGTTTACCAGGCCGGGGAGCTCCAATTCTGTCCATCCCAAAATGGATCTGCATCGGCACAGGGGTTCCAGTCTTGGAGCCGGCTTGCAGGACATCCCAAAACATGTTTTACTATCTACTCTCTGGTAAACATACAAAAAACTATGGAAAATCACCATTTTCAACTGGAAAATCAACTATTTCTATGGCCATGTTCAATAGCTATGTCAGTTTACCAGAGGGTACCCATATCTACCCTCTGTTTGTTTCATATAGCTATGGAAAATGGATGAAAATGTCGCATTTACAGATGATTTTCCCAGCTATAAAGCTCCATTTATAATGGATTTTCCATAGCTATGTTAAATTACCAGATGGTATATGCTTTCAAAGCATGGTTCGATGGGCGGCAAATTATATTGAATTCACCCGCTGACCTCACCCGAAAAATGATGCTTCGTGCATAGGGGGAATGAGCATCCGAACTAGTAGGTCAGAACTCCAGTTGTAAGTAGAAAAATATAGTACAGTATATATTACCTAAACTACCTGGAGTCATAACTCATTGTATATATATATATATATGGGTAAATTATGAGAGCTTCCATCCACCTATGTTGGCATCTTTGGCTTTTCGCAGTTCGTTGAGAGCATGAAGGGAGCGATTACCGGTGACCTTGGACTTTCCAACTTCTCCTTGAAGTCATTGATGCAACCGCAGTTCGCCTTTGATGTGAGTGGACTGATTTTGGGCAAAGTGACATCTGGTGAGTTGGCAAATGATGAGGGAGCCGAATACACAGTATATACATCCAGGATTCTTCCAATCACATCCGGTCTTGCATTTCTTGCAAATACACCATTTTGCTATTTTGATGATGATGAACTTGTGATTGGAGAATTGCAGTGGATCAACTCATGCCGTGTTTCTGCATTGGTGAATGTACAGGAGCGGTATTATAAAGTTGATCGTTCAACTGCACGTACAGTGAAAGCCCTAGGCCCAAAACCTCCTCGGGGTGGGCTTGCCATCCATGCTGGGTGCGGAAAGGGTCATGCCATGGTATTCCTCGCCACTGGAAGATGTTCTTCATTCTGGTGATGTCATGGGGGCAAAAGGATGTCTCGAGATTCGCAACAGATCCAACTACCTTCCACTACACTTCACTACATTACACTACACTACACTCCACTACACTACAACTACAACTACGACTACACAACTACACCCCACTACACGAAATTACACTACACTACGCTACATTACACTACACTACATTCCACTACACTCCACTACACTACACTGCATTACACTACACTACAATACACTGAATGACACTGCACCACAGATAGACAGGTAGACAGATAGACAGACAGACAGACAGACAGATAGATAGATAGACAGGTAGACGGCTAGACAGATAGGCAGATGAAAGAGAGATAGATAGATAGATAGATAGATAGATAGATAGATAGATAGATAGATAGGTACATAGGTAGATAGGTAGATAGGTAGATTAATTAGATGAAAGAGAAGATAGATAGCGATAGATAGATACATAGAAGATAGATAGGTAGGTAGATAGTCAGAGAAAGAGAGAGACAGAGAGGAGACCTCAAGCACCTTTCGGTCCATCAGTGGATTCGCTTTGCCATCCCTGATTCACAACAACCAACCTCTCCTATAGGTTTCCTATTTTTGAAACTTCCGCCACCGCCTTGTGCGGTACTACTGGTATTAATTCATGTTTTGGTAGAAAAATGGTCGGTGTCAAACTTGCTGACCTCCAAAAAGACATCCCAATGAACTCCGCAGATTCCGAATGATCATTTCGATGTCAGGGGATCCATGATTTTCTCATTTATGGTGGGCCTATAGTATCCGGAAAAAAACATAAAAGAGCACATAAATCTCCATGGATTCTATGAGTTGCATCCCAATTGTAGCCCCTATGTATACTATAAATATACATGTATATGATTGTATATGTATGTATTATATATCCCTATGGATCTAAGTACCTTGCTAGGAAGTGTTTGGGGTATGATTTAGGGGGTTAAGTAGCTTCTGAGACAGTGTTTGGATCCATAGGGTATATATATCTTCCAACATATTCTACTAGATATTCCAATTATGTTTTTTTTGCATGTTTTTCATCATGTGAATCAAAAGATATCTCCCAATCAGCACGTCCCAACCTTTCAGTGGCTGCTCTGCCAGGGGCAAGCTGCACCTGCACGAGTTCAGCTTTATGTCTGGAGACTTTGTGGCGGCCTTGATCTTGTTGGACTTCCTCTACCTCGTGCTGGCAGATGAAGGTGCCAAGCCATGGTGACATTGATGGGTAAGGGGGCGACTTTCCTGGTGAAATGATGGAGAAACCATGGGGAAACTATGGTGAAATATGGTGAAATGATGGGTAAATGGTGGTAAATGGTGGTGAAATGATGTCAATGGCCATGACTCAGGAACCGATTGAGGACGGAGGTACCGATTCCACATATTTTTGGCCTATTTTTCAGGCCTATGTAAGGGAATATCCTTAGAAAATATGGCCTTGTATGGTACAGTACCTCCATTTTAGGATCCTGAAATTCCCATTGATGGTGACATTGGTGCTAAGCCTCTGGTAAAGATACAAAAAACTAGGGAAAATCACCATGTTGAATGGGTAAATCAGCGACCTAAATGGCCATTTTCAATAGCTATATTAGTTTGACATTGTAGCCATAATGTGGTAAACCCAAACCATAAACCTACCATTTGGGATGCTTTATACCACCCATAAAAACATGTGATGTTTGGGGATGGTTTATTATTGGGTTTACCACATTACTTAGATGGGCCATGGAGTTAATGAACTGGTTAGCAACCCCCTCCAACACGATAATATATTCCTGGGTTTGTTTAAGGTGATTGTTTATTTTCCCAATGGAAAATCCACCATGACTAGGGAATCTATAGTGAATATGTTTTATTTTTTTGGGACCCCTTAAGCAAATCCAAGTATTTTAGTTGAGTATTTTTTTTCTTGGCTGATTCCATATGAAGCATGGTCATCGATGAAACATCGCAAGGAGTCCCATTAAAAAGTTGGATGATCATACCACGTTCATCCCACTGTTTGACCAGATGGCACGTATAAAACCATAGGAAACTAGACATATTATATATATTTGTATATCTAATATTGACATTTATACATATACATATATATGGATAGATATCTTCATATTGTTGGAGACTCCACATATGTATATATATATGGGTGAATTGTAACGACCTCACTGCGACCTCACTGGAATCATGGTTAGTAAAGGAAATCATCCCCAAATAGCCTTAATTCAGATTGGTGAAAGATAAACAATTACCCAGAACTAAGGTATTTTACATGGTTTATGACTATAGTTTGTCATATGCTCCGCCGGCGGCTGAAGGTGATAAATATTGAGCGACTTTTTGCAACGGTAAGACGAACAGGGTAGTGTTTAAATGTGGTTAGTCAGGTAGGTTATTTTGGGAATTATCCAATTTATATGATTTGTGATACTTAATCTCGAGTTGGATTTCAATCACTCTGTATGAGTCTATTGCGGCTGGCTGCTGTGAATGACCAGCATGTCTTGCCAGCGCATCTGCAAGCTGTCCAGAGAGACAGTTCCATCAGTTACGTGGGTGTGTCTGAAAATGGAATACACCCCAAGAATTCCAATCTTAATAAAGACATTTTAAAACTTTCCTCAAGCAGTTCGTTTTGGGCATCCTATGTTCTGACAAAGCCACGATGGCAATGGCTGACGCACCCCAAAGTGAATAACTTCATCAATCCTATACTTCAAACAATCTTCAACAATCTTCAACCACCTGTTCCTGGTCCAGAATTGAGACCCTCATTTTAGCTTGCGACCCTAAGCGCGAAGATTCGGACGGCCAAATTTGTGAAATTTCCCATTACTGTGGGTTATACCATATTCCTAGGTCAATCTTGGATGAGTAGAACTAATCCTTTACTTATTGGTATCAATGGGGTTATCTACGTTCACCAGCTAAGATTTTTTTGCATGGTATCTAAGATTGGCAATGATTATCATAATCCATATTATACCTTGCATATCCTTGCTTGTTTGTTGGCTCTGTTATATATATATCATATATATTCACATAGATTGTCTTGTTCCTTTCAAACCAATAGATATGAGTGATGATACATGGTATACCCGGCCGGCTCCTCTATGTTTCCTAATAGGACATTACCTTTCTGGATTAAGATTTGATAGGTTATTGCAAAAACATGTAAAAACCATGGTTTCCTAGATTGTCCCTTGAACCTATTCAATATTCCCATGATATCCGCATGAAATCCCCATTCAATTCTCATTATTCCCATTATATCCATCATATTGCCATCATATTGCCATCATATCCATAATATTTCCATCAAATTCCCAATCAAATTCCTACATAATCAGTTTTCCCAAGTGATGATGTAATTGTGATGTAACCACGATTTTTCAGGCTTAAAGCACCGGTTCTCATGGGATCTCCCCGGGGAAATTGCACCGCGACCAGGAACTTTACTCCTATTGCTCGGCTGCAAGGACCGTGGCCCAAACTTGGTGGATTCTACCAGCTGAAATGTTGATTGAATGGGATGTTAGAAACCTATATATAATATATATATATAATATAATATAATATATATATATTGAATATAATGAGATATAAAATATTATAGAATCAACATGATCAAGACTGGATCCATCTATCCACCTAACTTATGGCAGTTTGAGTGGAATGATTCTGGATGATAATGGAATATAATGACAAATTATTTGGTTGGTGGTTTGGAACATGATTTTTTAATGACTTTCCATTCAGTTGGGGATTTCATCATCCCAACTGACGAACTCATATTTTTCAGAGGGGTAGGTATACCACCAACCATATATATATAATTATGTATATATTGATGGTTAGATGGATAAGTTGGTTGATTCTACCAGCGAAGTCGGTACATTCGACCAGTGAATATGGGTGAATATTTTGGTTGATTGAATCATCGATGTCCTTTTCCCATTCAACGAGCTCGACAGAAGGCAGGACGGACACGCCACGCTCGCAGTGGCACGCATCTTGAACGGCGTCCACAAGGCGCTCAAGGGTGCCACCGAAATGGTGCTGACTCTTGTCTCAGAGTCGGCAGGCGAGATGGCTGAGATGACAAGGTACATGTCGCAGGTTGATTTTGTTTTCGGCCGGCGTTGGAGCGGCCTACAGACCAAGGGATCCATGGGGAAAGACATCCTGCAGTGCTGGCCCGATGTCGATGGTGCACCTGGCCTTGGTCGGAATGTCACTGGCAGCCCCAGTACTCATGGTGTTCTGGAAGGACCCTGCTGGACTGCGGGCACTGATGTCGCAGCTGGGGGAGAGCCAAAGCGCCCTTGACAATATGGATTCGATGTCAGCAGGGCTGCTCGAGGCAATGCAACACGCCGCGCAGCAGCTTCGATCCAAGCGGGTAAATGATGATGGTATACCAAACTGGCCCCTCAATTTTTCCATTGAATGGGATGTAGGATACGGTTGGTTTGTTTCACCAATAGTTCACTGTTGGGTTTATGAAATGTGGATCTAGGAAACGCTAAGTTGGTTTATTTCACCAATATTTCACCAAGTTAGTCTATGGCAGACATCTCTAAGGTTAGATGGGACTATAACCGGGTCACCTCGTTGGAGAGGTGCTTGGGAGTATCAGATATGGTTGGTCACTTTCCCTCCTGTAGTCTGGCACTGTACAAAAAATTATTCATCACTTCCGTTAGAGAATGCTACCTGGTTCATTTGGAATTATAGTGAACTATACTGAATTATAAGCATTATAGTAGAGTCCATGTCATACAAGCGCACCCCAGTTGTATTGTTTGATAACATTGTTATAACATGCTTTTTAACATTTTATAACATTTTTATGACATGTTATAACATGTTATGGCCCATCTATATACGTGTTATTTTTCTGCCATCTAACGCTAATAACTAGGATAATATTATGGTACATTACTATAGTTTTTCCTATGGTAAACATCAACCAACGTTTCACCAGAAACGCCCAGGCACCCAGGGACCCAGGGACCCGGGGCACCTTTAGGAGATGGAATTGCAAGACGAAGAGGCAGGTTGCGAGCCCGAAGCCACCAGGTGCGCGGGTGTGTGCGGTGAATGGATCGCGACGGAGATTCGGAAAAGCCATGGAAAAAGCCATGGGAGACGGCTGGAAAATGTGGAAACATTGTGAAAAATGTGGCAAAAATGTGGAAAACTGTGGGAAAATGTGGCAAAAATGTGGAAAACTGTGGGAAAATGTGGAAAACTGTGGAAACATGTGGAAAATACTGGGATTTCATCAATATAAAAGTGGATTTCTGAAGAACATCTCAGAATGGAAGTGAGAACGTTTGGATTCCACCTGCCAATACTGGACATGTGCGCAGTTAATATGATTTACGAGTGGAGATATGGAATTGACCACAGCAAAGTAGTATATCACCAGCAAGATTGAAACAGCTGAACTGAAGATTTCAGTGAGAAGGGCGATTGAACTGGAAAAACACATCTCAGAAATATCGCTGAGAAGAGGTGTTGTGGAAAACAACTATGGAGTGATACCCTTTGGTAATTTAACATATAGCTATGGAGTGAATGGCCCATTTGCAGATGAATTTCCCAGCTATAAACCTCCATCCCTAATGGATCTTCCATAGCTATGTTAAATTGCCAGAGGGTAAATTGAACTGTGAACAATGGTTTGTTTTGATTGTTTATGTTCAACCGTTTCGATTGCGGAAGATGCCATATCCCCAAAGAAATCAATTCTTCGATCTTGGTTCGCTTGCTCCATGTGTTTGGTTCTCCAACATTAAGGAGAGGCAACCAAGAACAACTTGAAAAGTATCGCGCAGATAAGGCTAATGGAGGATTCTATGGGCTTGTACTAGCGGTACCAGCCCCGAAACGATGGGGAAGTTGGTAAACATATCTAGGCTGGCTGTGGTTTATTTAATGAAATTTAATGGATCAGACTAGTGAGCAAAGATGAGCTAAACCAATGGCACATCCTAGGGTTCCTAGGGTCTTGGACACCGAGTTGTGACTGTTTTATTCTTTGTTCAGCTGTATTTGGGAACACAGCAATTGAAAAAACACGCTATTTTGGTGCCGGAAGAGAAGCCATGATTGATCCAAGACTAGCATAGATTAACTATTAAACATGGAGGAATGCAACATTGCTTGGGTATATTATATACTCAATAATAATCATAAGTCATGATTTTTACCTTTACAAAACATCGAAACATCAATTCAAGCCAGAATTCACCCTAATATCAACAGAAACCATTGCAACCATCATCCAACTCGCCCAGTTTGTGTCCAACTCCAGGTGGCAATGCATCCTGAAGAAGCTGCAGCCCTTCTTGGAAAGCTCAAAGACACTGAGCTGCAGTCCACCGAGTCCCATCGGCGGATGGATCGGGATGGATCAAGTCACCGGCTACCACCAGCTACCCGGCCGGGTAAACGTTAACTAACATAGCCATGGAAAACCACCATGCTATTCCATTTTTAATGGGTAAATCCACGAACTAAATCACCATTTTCAATAGCTATGTAAACGTTTACCAGAGGGTATGACTTAGCTATGAACCATCTATTATCAGAAGTATTCCCATTAATGATATTGCCATCACTGTCCTTAGATATTGGAATATGTTCCATGTTGTTTCCATTATTAGATACCGCATGGAATATCTAAGGTTTTTTGATGGGAATATCATGGAATATCATGGAATACATAGTTTGTTCGCAAAGTCGTTGCCCAGCTGGGAAGCATGGCAAGTTGGTTTGCGTTCATATCAAGTTTTGGGGAATAGTACAGTGAGTGATAATGCTAGTGATTCAAAAGCCATCCTACTTTGGGTATCTTTCAGTTTCGGGCTATCCCCATTGTTTCGGGATGTTTCGGGCATGGGTGAAAAGTGGGGCCGAATAAAGACCCACACAATTGGTTGTCCTGAGTATGAAACCATCCGTTGTGGGGGTTCAACAATTTAGACACATAGTTCTAGTGTCTATACCCTCTTCAAGGCTAATCTTAGATAATTACCCTGTGTTTTTCTTAGCTGCCCGAAAAAAGAAGACAATGTCCTATTTAAAATTTGGTGATTTCGATAGCTCTGTTAAATTACCAGAGGGTATATTCCCAGATGCTCCACGTATGGAATATTTACCTACATTTACCCCAAAAATGACGCACATGTAGGTAAATATTCCATACATGGAGCATCTGGGATTGTCAGTTGGGTGTGTCACGATTTTTTGTGGTTAAACCTCTGAGTCTCACCGAATTCGAACATCCATCCCTGAAAGCGTTTCTCGCACCCAATTCACACAGCTATACAATTTACACTCCTTATGTTTGGCGGCTAAATCCCTGCAATTTCGCTGGTTTTCCATTTTTTGCATGATGAGAATTGTTAGAGGAAAACACTGAATTTGATAGCAAAACTCATGGTTTCCAGTGACGGTGTTCCCTTAGAGGAGGCCCGCAATTCTGAATCCATGAATCCACCACATAATGTTATCATCATCCTGAAGTAGATACATGGGATCTTCAAACATACGCTCTGGTAAACTAACATAACTATGGAAAATCACATTTTTTAATGGGAAAACTCACTATAAATTGCCATTTTCAATAGCTATGTTAAATTACCAGAGGGTATTCCCATTTTACTTTATACTTTATAGTGAGTTTGTGCCAGTCAGTTTCCATATTCCATCCAGGATGACTAGAAGAAAAAACTGTTGATATGTACTTACACCCTATCAAAACATGTGATATCTACCATAAAGAAAAAAACAAGTTAGAAGTTCTACAACAAAAATCTCACTTTTGAAGTGATATCTACAGTCAACAAAAGTCCTCTGGTAATTCTGTTCTGAAGCGGTGAATTCCTCGTTGCCTCGTTGCGCTCAGGAAACGTCACGATGTGGTCATGCTCTGCGCCGGCTACACCAAGTGGATGGATGACCCTGGTTGTACACCTTAAAAAAATAGGGGATTAGCCAATAATGTCAACCCCGGATTTTGCTAAACCATGGTTTATGAAAATGAGGAATAATCATTTCATCTGATACTTTTTTAATGGTACCCTCCCAATTAAACAGCCGTAAACGGGGTTTATTAATCCAGCGTTGACATTAGCTGGATTCCTATGAATAATAACAATCATTGACCATTATTATCCATTATTAACCATTATGAACCATTATTAACCATCATATAATCATTATATTACCATAGTTATACCCATAGTTATACCCAGATGGTTGAAACAGGTGACAGCCTCTGAAGAATATGATTTAGCATGATTGAGCCAAGTTTATGGTGGTTGAAGCATCGAAATAAAGAGGTGTTTGGTAGGATGTACTGGGATATACTAGTGGTATAATGAGATATGTGTAACCCATCAACTAATGATTTCTTGGATTTCTTTGAAAACGCGTGATTTAAGCATCAATCATGGGGTCTAAAACCAAACACTTGATCGAGATTCAACGTTTGACAGTGTGATTTAACCATATTTAACCAACAAAATGTTCAGCAAAACTGGTAGGTGGTTGGGAACATTTTTTATTTTTCCATATATTGGGAATGTCATCATCCTAACTGACGAACTCCATCATTTTTCAGAGAGGTAGGTCAACCACCAACCAGTAGGGGTTTAAACAACAAAATATGGCGGCATGAGACAAGCATCAAAAATGAGCAATAAACCCAACTGGCGATGAGTTTGGCAAATTTGGCTTCAAGCGGGGCTTGGAAGTCAGCAACGTTTAACACCGGAGAGTCCAAGCCAAACTGGTTATATAAATATATTATTCCATATCTTATTTAAATGATATATTATAATTTAGGGATGTATAATAATATGTTATATTACTGTTATATTCCCATGAAGTGGATTTAAATAGTATATATATATATATTCCATTTAATAATATATCTGGTTGGTGGTTTCAAACACGTTTTTTTCAAGATGGTTAAAACCACCAACCAGCAAAATTGTTTGTGAATCACATCCAACCATATGGGGGGTTTCGATAAATGGAGGTATCACCAATAGCTGGTTTGTTTATCATGGCAAATCCTATATTTAAATAGATGATTTAGGGGGACCCCCACTTCAGGAAAGCTCCACATGTGTCGAGCATTTTCACGAGTTCACCAACGCATTTGTCATGGGTTTCCATGGGTTTCCACCATCCACGATCCTTTGTTGGGTGTCTTTGTGTCGCCTACTTGGTTGTTCATCCCACGGCTCGTAAGTGGGTTAGTTCACCCCAATGATTGAAGTGGATTAACCCGCTCCTTATCCCATGTAAATCACTGGGGTTGTAACCCACAACCACGATTCGTGGGTAGTTCGCCACCAAGTAGTTCGCCACAGCCCATATCCTGATGTAAACCGCCAACAACCATCCCGCCAACCATGGAGATCATAATACATATCATCCCATTGCGAATCGGGTATACCTAATTTCACCTCAAACTTGGGGATAGTTTAATATAGTTTATGGAATTGGCTTCACCACATTAACATCATAAATTTATATTGTCCATGACTTGGTTTGTAATCAATATAGCAATCTGCCATGTATATGGTGATTTACCTATTAAACACACATATTAAACATGGTGATTTTCCATGGGTATGTTAGTACTTGTTCAGACAAACCAAGGTTTGACAGTAAATTTCGCATATTTTCCCATTGAGTCTCCATATTGTTCATATTCTTGGTTTTATCATCGCGTCCCCGTTATATCCACCAAATCACCATTCAATCCCATCAAATCCCTTAAAAAAAAAACACCGTTTTCAAACGGCTTGGAACCACCCGTTGCGCGTCACCATTTCCAAGGCCTCTGGTATTGTGGTGGTGCTTCTGGGAGTTCAACTGGGTCTGTTGAATGCAGCTCGGTGGCAGCAGCCAGGAACGGTGGCAGATGCGCAACGCACCGTTGCACCGTTGTGGGTGACTGTTGGGATGATCATGGGATTACAGCTGGTAGAATGGGAAAATTAAAATAATTATGATTAGTCCCATTATGGTGGTATATGTTGGTATTATTATAATACCATGATGATCCCACTATTAGCAGATTATGGGACTAATACCATGGTATATTATGATTTTAATTAAGATAGTGGGACTTAGCATTGCTATTGAACACAGTGGTATTAGAATGGTATTGTTTCCATCTACCAACTGGTGCAGGATTTTGTAGCCACAGTGTTTGGATCCATGTAGTCCATATACGGGCAATTCATTCATCCATGAGGTAAACGTATGTAAACGTCATTTTTCATTGGAAAAAATCGATGGGATATTTTTTCTCTGTTTTTTCCGATAAGTTGGGATGATAAGTATAAAATAGTATAAAATAGTATAAACCTATAGTTACCGGGTCATCTATGTTTCTTAAAGATCCCCATTTTCTACGTTTGTTTCTTTTGGAGCACGCCCAAGTGATTGCATCCCATCGGGATGATCGTGCTGAAGGAACCATGAATTTCATGGCAATTTTCATGCTGATTAATGGTGATTATTGTGATTAAATTATGATGATGATATATATATATATATGGGGATATACCCGGCCTGGTTATGACTAACAGTTTGCCATGCTATAGATGGCCCATGGAAATAGTTGGTCTACCTATTAATAGCATGGTGATTTTCCATGGCTATGTTAAATAACCAGATGGTATCAACAACTTACAAGTGAACTGACCCCAGCACCACTCTACACAATGGAACATCCTCTATCAATGGAAGTTCAATTGGGAATATCAGACATATATCAACCATTATCAACCATTATCAACCATTATCAACCATTATCAACCATTATCAACCATTATCAACCATTATCAACCATTATCAACCATTATCAACCATTATCAACCATTAAACCCAAGCTATATTAGTTACGACTTTGCGAAGTAGCTGGCACCACCTGACCAAAAAAAACAAAGCCCTGAACCTGGATGAAAAACAATGACCAAAAAAGTACTGACGTTACTGGAAGGATCTGTGTCAGGGAAATCATCCCCAAATGGTCTTATTTCAGCTAAATGATGATTTTCCATGGTTTAACAATGGGTAAACAATGGTGAATCATGGGATGAGATTTAGCATTTATATACCCTCTGCTAAACGTTTACACTTTGCGACATTGAAAATGGTCCATAGAAATAGCGGATTTACCCATTACATGATCATGGAATGGGATATATCACCAACAATATTGGTACCCTCTGGTAATGACTGTTACATGACTATTGAAAATGGCCCAGTCGAAATAGCTGATTTACCATTATAGTATACAATATTGGTACCCTCTGGTAAACAAACATAGTAACATAGCTATTGAAAATGGCCATTTATAGTGGATTTATCCATTGAAAATGGTGATTTTCCATGGTTTTTTGGTAAACGTTTACCAGGCCGGGCTGGTCCCGTCCCCTAGGGTCCCCCGGCTTAAGCCGCGGCTAAACCAGATCTACGCCTGCCTGGCTGCCGTACTTCTCTTTGGCGCTTTCCGCGGCTTTCAACTCTACCAGGCAGTGGTTGGGTGGGATAGCGATGGATCCATTGGGCTCATCAAACTAAAAATTGCAAAAAGCAACTGGATGGCGAGTTGGCTCGGGATTAAAAAGGTAGGTTTCAAGCAATAATCCATGTGGAAATGTATGGAGCATGGATGGGTCAACAGCTATTATAACATACTATAACTCTATAACTGGATAACTGGTTGGTGGTTTGGAACATGTTTTTTCCATATACTGGGAATTTCATGATCCCAACTGACTTTCATGTTTTTCAGAGGGGTAGGGCTCAACCACCAACCAGAAAAATTGCTCATCCGACGAGGAATAAATCAAAGCATAAATCATGAAAGTGGTTGAAAATTACCCTCTAGTAATTTAACATAGCTATTGATCATGGCCATTTATAGTGGATTTACCCAATGAAAATAGTGATTTTCCATAGTTATGTTAGTTTACCAGAGGGTAAATTAATTTTGATCCATATCAAACCAGTTGGTGCTGGGGAGACATGTCCAGGGATTTCATCGACATACTGGATTTCCAACGGTGATGTGTGTAACTTATATTCAAAAATACTGACCCTCAAGGAAATTCAGTCCCACTCCCAGAACTGGTTAGAGGGACACAGAAAAACCCTGAAATTGCAGTGAAAAGCATGGTTTTCTGTGTTTTTCTTTCATTGCAATGATCCTTTGATATTCTCATTAATTAAATCCTATTAAATCAAATTACCTACATTTACCTACATACCTTCATAAAGTACCCGTTTCTGCCCCGTTAAATCTACCATTCTATGAATTATATGGTTGGTTGCCACATTGTTATGATCCCATGATTTTTGATGCCTTTATATTGATTCTTATAGACTCAAATTCAGAAGAGTCAAAGCAGTAATTTCTCGTTCGACATGGTTCACCCAGCCACCGCGAAGGAGTTCAAGCTTCCGCTGAAAGGACAGAAGTGCTGTCGGAAGCTAAGAGGGGGCGAATTTGTTTGATGGCGGCAGAGGTACCGGTTACTTCACCAATAAAAACTGGAGGGTACTCTGCTTGCGTCCCAGGAAGCGCAAGTGTTAAGAACCTACTGTGGATGGCAGAAATCCTACACCACCAAAAGGATGGTTGAAGCCTATAATAATGGGATAAACAACCTATCAACAGGTGCAGGATTCTTCCATCCACTGTATGTGATATTATGTATGCACTGGATTTCACTGGGTTCAATATGGTCATTGTTGTTACCCACTTAACTTGGATGACCCAAGTAAGCAACCAGGGGAATATGACAAGCAGTGGCTCAGCCTAATCTAGCCCCAATAAACTGATCAAGGCTGGTCTCTGAAGGTGACGTGATGAGTCCATAGCAGACCGACATCGTGGTTGGTTACCCTCCGGTAATCAAACCTGGCAATTGGAAATCCGCGAGAAATGGGGGTGTCAATAGGAAAATCACCTATAAATAGTGTATTTTCCATTGCCATGTTTGATTACCAGAGGGTAATTTTCGTTGGAGGGGGAAGGCAGTGAACTCGCTATTGGATAGCCAGCAGCTACGGCTGGAAAAGGTTGCATGGCGGCAAATCATGGATACGACGAATGACTGAATGGATAAGAATGGTAAAGAGAACCGACTCAAAGATACATTCGGGCGCATACTGTAAGGTGCATCATTGTTTCATAGTTTTTCAGTTGCTGACTTCCTAAACACCTGTACTGCCATGTGCCAAAAATGACCATGTAAGGCAAATGTGTTCCTCATATGGACAGCATCCAACAAGGTGGTGTCTTTCCCCTCCCCAGTGAAATAAGTTGCTTTAGATCTTTTCCGCAAAGCCTATAGTTGATATGATTCCACTATATCACTTTTATTCCCCATATTTCCTTTGTTGATGTTTGATAGATTGTTGATATTCCATTCATATGGAACATCATTGAGGATCAATCATTGATATTGATTATATATATGATGGAAAATAATTATATGATTGTTTATATTGTTGATATCAATGATTTTCCCCAGGAATTGTTTTTTATTCATATCCCATCATTGATGGATTAATTACAGTTATGGCCATTTATCAATTATAACTGGTTATAAATGGGATTATATATTCTATAAATGGGGTTTTGTTAGTACTTATAACTGGTAAAGGGCCATAAGTGTAGATCCCACTATATCTATTCCACTTTTATTATTTTGTATTCCCCATATTCCCATTATTGATGGTTGATATTCCATTGTCCCATCATTGATGGATTAATTACAAACCAACTGAACCAACAATTCCTGTGGCCACTGGCCATGCCCAAGGCGTCTGAAGGCCTTCCGTCTGCAGTTCTCTTCCGGGTTCCACGACGCGGGCGACGCGTTTTGCGACGCTGGCCGTGCCGTGAAAAACACGTCGCGGCAGGGTAGGGAGGTACCCTCTGGTTATTTAACATCGCCATGGAAAATGGCCTATTTATAGATGGTTTACCTATTAAAAATGGTGATTTTCCATGGCTATGTTAAATAGCCAGTGTGTATATGTGTTGTCTTTCAAGTTAGGTGGGCGTGTCTGAAAATGAGGTCTCAAACTCAAAGCATCTAAATCTAATTGATTGTTCAGACAAAGTTCAATATTCAAGTGCAATAATTGCAACAGGTCTAATCAGAACTTTTTGAGTGTGTCTGGAATCATCCGAAAGATGCTTTTCTTGCCAATGCAGATCATGTTTTGGATTTTATATGATAGCTCTACGCTTTGTTTTTGTTTATCGGTTCTTACAAAAATAAAATATGTATTACCCTAACCAAAAGTTGATATGTTATAATATGTTTCTGTTTGGAATTTCACAAAAGATACCATCTGGTTATTTAACATAGCCGTGGAAAATCACCATTTTTAGTAGGTAAACCATCTATTTCTATGGGCCATCTATACCATGGCTATGTTAAATAACCAGAGGGTAACATCATTCATAACATATGTTCTTACCAACAATATCAAGCCACCAGCATTTGATAAAAACATGCTGCTGCCTGGCGGAAGATTTAGAGGGCTTGGGGCGCTATAGCGGCTAGCGACCATGACTGACCAAGTTGGTGAACCCGTGACTTTCATGGCAATTACCCTGACTTTACCCTCTGGTAAACATATAGATCAATTATAGATCCCATATTTCATCCCATAAGTGGGGATATTCCATATATAACTGCGGGTATACCCTCTGGTAAACGTTTACAGTTTGCGAACTTGAAAATGGCCCAGTCGAAATAGTGAGTTTTCTCATTACTAGCATGGTGATTTTCCATAGTGATGTAAACGTTTACCAGGCCGGGTAATTCGGATATGAGGTTTGTTTAATAAGTCATCAGTTGATTACCATTAAACCCATCGGTCATGGTAGACCGGTGCATCTTCAAGAACTCTTGTGGTCTCCGTGGTATGGTGGAACCCAATGGTATGGATTTCAAGACGTTGCATAAATGGCAGATGCCAAAATTGCTATCTCTTGCATCACTGTGGAGCGCGATGAAGCAGCATGTTTTGAGTGGGTCTCTCTCTCTAGATACTCAAACAGCCGAAAGAAACATGTGAAGCTTCGTCTTTTCAACGGCCATTTCAGGTACCTAAAATGGAGGTACTGTATCACACAGCCACAGTTTGCGGGAAAATCCCTGTTCCTGAAATGGCCACTGATTTTTAGGTCTTCAGGTCCCTTTTTCTTAAGCTGCTTGACCCACAGGAGACGTACCACTGCTAGACAACCTTCGAAAGGTGCACCGTTGCGGTTGGGTTGGTCCAAACCTTGGTGATTTAGCCTGGTAATTTGGTGCATAGCGATGGACAATCACCATGTTTCAATCGGGTAAATCATCTATCAATTTGCATTTGTTGTTTCCATAGTTATGTTAAATTACCGGAGGGTAGCTCAAATTACACGACTTTGTTCATGGAGAAGATTGTTATAGTAGAATTTCATATGAATCATGTAGAATATCAAAGTAGATTATGTACTAAAATCCAAAAGAAGATCATTACACCCTTTTTCTCATAGTCTCATAGTGTTGAAACCGGGGACGACAAGAAATTCGCCCCAAGATTTCCAGATCTGCACTCTCTCCTCCTGGAATCATGTGTCCAAAAAGATGCGGTTAACATCCCACCATAAATTCAGTGGATCGTTTTCTTGCAGGATGGGGCCCGCAAGATAAGTAGCTTATCTATGCTGGTTGGTGGTTGGGAACCACCAACCAGATAGTTATAAGTATCATGAACCATAGTTATGTTATATGATGTTATTTGATGTTATATGATGTTATATGGATACTGGTTTGTTGTTTGGATTGTTTTTATTTTTCCATATATTGAGAATAATCATCCCTACTGACCAACTCCATGATTTTTCAGAGGGGTAGGTATACCACGAACCAGATATGGTTTATGGTAAATATAACATCCCCCTCTTAATATCCCTTGTAAACCACCGGAACCCATGGAATCCCCGCTTCACCAAAAGGGCTGGCAAATGGATGGTCATTCCCACAGGATGGAGCTCGCAAGATAGCGTTCAGTTGCCTTAGTGGCCGAATTCTATGGTTTATGGTAGATATAACATAATATAATGTAACTATAGTTAATGTGGGTTATAATTTAACGGTTTATAAACTAGCTTATAACTGGATATAACTATATAGCTAATGGGGGTTATCATCGTTTATAAACCAACGTTCACATCACTGGGGGGCCCCATCCTGTAAATCCAGAAATTTCAAGGGCCGATTCTATATAAGCGCATTGTTGGAGCATGCCGTGGAGACCCACGAGGTTTGATTAACACCATACTTGGTGCTGATCACCATGCAAGTGCAAGTGGTGCAACCGGGAGCTCCTCTACCTGGTGACGTGTTCCCCCTGTACGGATCTGTACGGGCTGATAGCGGCTGATGGGTAGTCTGGAGAGCAGAGATTGATTTAGTCAAGAATTTTTTGGTACCTGACCTAGGGGCCCTCTACTGGATCGAGGGGTCCTGATGGCAGCGCCGGCCGCAAATTTGAAAGATGACGAGTTGGAGGAATTGATATTCAAGCCCGTACGGGCTCAGCTTCGGCAGCCTGGTTCGAGTGTGATGGATTTTCCCAAATCGTTTTGTTTATTTTACCTACCATTTGTATCCATGTGTCGATCATTTTTCCAAGGGTGTCCCCATGGCTTTTCAAAATCGGTATGTTAGTTTACCCTAACTGGGGAGGTGCCCCCTCCCCAGTTATAAATTGCTTATAAGCCCATGAAAACTATAGATGTATAACTTATATAACCATAGTTGCTAAAGTTATTGGAGCTATGTTCACCAACTTCGCTATGGGGCACCACCGAACGTATGATACGATCCACCGAACAATTGGATGGCTAGGGATGGTTTCAAGCAAGAATCCATGTGGAAATCTATGGAAAATCTGTGGGTCAACAGCTATTATAACAAAAAAATTAACTCTATAACTGGATAACTGGTTGGTGGTTTGGAAAATGTTTTTTCCATATACTGGGAATTTCATGATCCCAACTGACTTTCATGTTTTTCAGAGGGGTAGGGGAATAACCATTATTTGGGGCAATAACCATTATTTGGAGCAATGACCATTGTTTAACAAGCGTTTTTGTTCTGTACCGTTTTTTTTTGTGGGTTTTGACCAACACCATTTTTCTGGGGATCACCTACGGAACGTCCAGGTCTATGGAGCTTGTACCAAAAAATCTATGGAGGTACCCAGTTACCCTCTGGTAATTTAACATAGCTATGGAAAATGAGCCATTTATAGTTGATTTACCTATATATTAAGAGTGGTGATTTTCCATTGTTTTTTGTAAACGTTTACCAGAGGGTATCATCCATTTATAGATGGATGTTCCACAAACCATCCAGCTGGGGTAGCCCGATATTCTAGGAAACCTCCATACTAGTTGTATTACTGTAATTGGTTTTGAACCACTTATAAGCTGGGATACCTCCTTCCCCCATAAAATATTGAACACCAGAAAATCCAAGAAACCATGCTTCAGTAGGGGGATTGTTACATATTTTGGACCATGCAATGGGGGGTGTTTAATAGAAACGAGGGATAATGTTATCATCCATTCTATATCATAATATTAGTTATATTATCATGATATGACCCATTATTGATGGTTAATATTCCATTAATATCCCGTCGTTGATGGATTATTAATTGCATGTTGACCATCAATCAATCAATATACATAGGTTTCAACCATCATACTGAAGGTTTCCAGCTGGGAAAATCCACTAAATCATGGATTAACCCAGTGAATGAATCATTAAAATTGATTTTCCCATGGATAACTATGTTTCTAGCTGGGAAATTCCACAAGATATCTATCCATCACGCTTTGGGAAGATTTTGGAGTATCCAATCATGCGTTTTCTTGACTTACTGGTGCGTTTTACGTAGGGAACGGATGGGTTGTTGGGGGTTGCTGGGATGATGACATTACTAGTGATGAAATGGATCTTTCCGAAAATTCCCTGCGTTTACCCTCTGTAATTTAACATAGCTATGGAAAATCACCATTTTCAATGGGTAAATCCATTATAAATGGCCATTTTCAATAGCTATGTTAAATTACCAGAGGGTAAGTTGAAGGTTCCAGAGACAATTCATCGATCGCGTCGTTATGTCGAGATTTGTCGAGGCTCCAGTGCCGAATTTGCTGGCATCGATTAGGCGACGCTTTTTGCAGGGGTGAAAATGTGAGGGATCTTGGGGTTTCCAAAATTTTGCAAGGCAAAAATGTAGTAACTAAACCATAAACCACCCATTAATGGGTAATGATGGTTAGTAGTGGTTAATAAATGATGGTTATATAATGATGGTTACTGATAGTTCATGATGGTTGATGTGGGTAAAACAATGCCATAAACCACCGAAACTGGGAATTGTTTATAGCACTGTCATAAAAATGGTGATGACTGGGGGATGGTTTATTATTGTTTTAACCACATTATATATATATACATATATATATATATATATGCATGCTGGTTGGTGGTTTGGAACATGAATTTCATGACTTTCCATATGTTGTTTATTATTGTTTTACCCACATTACTGGGGATGATTATTGATGGATATGGGGGTACCCCAAAATAGCTGGATGGTTATATAATTTCACTCTGATGTCGCACCGTCGGCAAGAACCGTCTTGCAGCTACCGGCATGCACATCACTGGTGACGAGCGATCCTGGAGAGTCACCTTGTCCGTGGCAACTGATCGGTGGCAGCAGGATTTCGACTGGCAGACTGGTTACCCTCTGGTAAACTAACATGGCTATTGAAAATCACCATTTTGGGTAAACTCACTATAAATGGCCATTTTCGATAGCTATGTTAAA